TCCCAATAAAATATCTGCAGTAGTCCGGAGACGTAGGCATTATTGGCCGAACTCCGTTATCAAATTGGTGTGTCCTATTTTTTTATTTTTATTTCACTTTTATAGATCCGACTTCATGGAAATTTCAGCGTATTTTTCCCAACAACTGGTATCAGAGCCAGATTGTTAATTCTGTAATTTTTTTGTGTGAGTTACTATTCCGTGAATAGTGAAAAACGGGAATAGTGTCAAATTTGTCAGCGCTACAAATTTATCTACCTACGTGTTCTTAAACACGGTAGTTCACAAAATTTACAGAAACGATCCGGCAGAGAAGTCAGATCAGAGTCGATGGCTGCAGACGAAAGAAAAATGAAAATTGAAAAGTTCGATGGTGCGGACTTTGGCTTCTGGAAGATGCAGATCGAGGATTATCTGTACCAGAAGAATATGTATCAACCACTCACGGGAAAGAAGCCAGAGGATATGAGGGAGGAAGAATGGAGTCTTCTTGACAGACAAGCCCTTGGAGCCATTCGGCTGACGTTATCCCGTAATGTTGCTTTTAACATTGCAAAAGAAAAAACGACAGCAGGCCTCATGAAGGCTCTTTCCAACATGTACGAGAAACCATCAGCCTCAAATAAAGTCCATTTGATGAGGCGATTGTTCAACCTTCGGATGACCGAAGGTGCTCCGGTGGCAAATCATCTCAATGAGCTCAACACAGTTACAACCCAGTTGAGTTCAGTTGAGATCGAGTTCGATGATGAAGTACGGGCTTTAATACTTTTGTCTTCTCTACCAGAAAGCTGGAATGCTACAGTCACAGCTGTGAGTAGCTCATCGGGAAGCAATAAGTTGAGATTTGATGATGTCCAAAATTTGGTTCTCAATGAAGAGATCCGGCGGAGGGAGTCGGGTGAACCATCAACCTCTTCTGTATTGCATACAGAGTCGAGAGGAAGAAGTTCAACCAAAGAAAGCAGACATATCAAATCAAAGGGAAGAAGATCCAGGTCCAGAAATCATCGTGGTTCCCAAAACTCGAAGTCGATCGAGTGCTGGAATTGTGGGAAGACCGGGCACTTCAGAAACCAGTGCAAGAGTGCACCGAAGGGCCAAGAGACAAAAGAAGAGGCAAATATTGCCTCAGTCTCAGCAGGAGACACGCTGATATGTTCTTTGGAGAACAGAGAAGAGTCTTGGGTGTTAGACTCTGGAGCATCCTTTCATGCTACCTCACAGAAGGAACTATTCGAGAATTATGTTCCTGGAAACCTTGGTGAAGTTTACCTTGGTAATGAGCAATCATGTGAGGTTGTCGGCAAAGGTGCAATAAAAATCAAGTTGAACGAGTTTGTTTGGGAATTGAAAAATGTCAGACATATTCCCGACCTGACGAAGAATTTAATCTCCGTAGGCCAGCTAGCCAGTGAAGGCTACACGACAATCTTCCATGGTGATGATTGGAAGATTTCAAAGGGTGCGATGACAATTGCTCGAGGCAAAAAGAGTGGTACTCTTTACAAGACCACAAGAGCATGTCATCTTATTGTAGTTGCAGCAAATGAAAGTCCCAATCTATGGCACCAAAGACTTGGGCATATGAGTGAAAAAGGGATGAAGATCATTCACTCAAAAGGAAAATTACCAGGCCTCCAGTCAATAGAAATTGACATGTGTGAAGACTGTATACTTGGAAAGCAGAAGAGAGTCAGCTTTCAGACAAGTAGACGAACCCCAAAGAAGGAGAAGCTTGAGCTCATCCACTCTGATATTTGGGGCCCAACGACTGTCCCATCCGTTGGTGGGAAGCAATACTTCGTGACTTTTATTGATGATCACTCCAGAAGGGTATGGGTTTACTTTCTGAAACACAAGTCAGAAGTATTTGAAGCTTTCAAGATTTGGAAAGCTATGGTGGAAAATGAGACTGGCTTGAAGATCAAGAAGCTCAGATCCGACAATGGTGGTGAATACGTAACCACCAGATTCAAGAAATTTTGTTATGAGCACGGAATCAGAATGGAGAGAACCGTGCCTGGTACGCCTCAACACAATGGCGTAGTTGAGCGTATGAATCGAACGTTGACTGAAAGAGCCAGAAGCTTGCGTGTGCAGTCAGACCTACCAAAGCAGTTCTGGGCAGAAGCAGTCAACACAGCAACTTACTTGATCAACCGAAGTCCATCGGTACCATTGGATCACAAGTTACCAGAAGAGGTATGGAGCGCAAAAGAAGTAAAACTCTCACATCTTAGAGTTTTCGGGTGTGTAGCATATGTACACATCAGTGATCAAGGTAGAAACAAACTTGATCTAAAATCAAAGAAATGTACTTTCCTTGGCTATGGTGAAGATGAGTTTGGCTACCGTTTATGGGACGATGAAACGAAAAAGATGATCCGCAACAGAGATGTCATCTTTAATGAAAGAGTGATGTACAAGGACCGGCATAACACAAGTGCCAGCAACTCAAAAGCGAGTGGGCCAATTT